CCGTTTCCTGATCTTTTATTTTGCTCTTTGCTTGTTCTTTGCATTACTCAAGTGAGAGAAACCATATAATATTTAAGCTTGTATGTCTGATTTATTTCACTTAACATTATATTTTAAGGTGTTTCCATTTTCCTACAAATGTCTCAAATTTATCCTTCTTTATAGCCAACTAGTATTCCATTATCTATATATACCACACTTTCTTTATGCATTTGTTTGATGGACATAAGGGCTCCTTTCAGAATTTGGCTATTATGAAATGTGCCACTATAAACATGGGTAGGCATATATCACTGTAGCATTGTCCTTAGCTCTTATGGAAAGATACCTAGAATGGAGAGCAGGTGAGTCAAATGGAATTTCCTTTTTTAGTTTAGAAATTTCCTTACTGATTTCCAGAATGGTTATACCAACAATGTGGAGGGTTCCATTTCCACTGCAGCCTCACCAGCATTTGATTTCTTGATGATGGCCATTCTTTCTGGTGTAAGATAAAATCTTAGTGTTTCTATTTGCATTTTTCCAGTGACCAGAGATGCTGAACATTCTTTCATGTGCTTATTGGCCATTTGTACTTCTTCTGAGAAGTATCTATGTACTTCCTTTGTGGGCTCATCTTCCTACACTTGCTCCCATTTCTTCTTAGTTTGTTTCACCCTTGCTTTTCCATTTCCTGGTGTAGCCATTAGGGATTTGTTATTGATCCTTGCAATTATTTCACAAATGTAAGTTTTCAGAGATATTCTTTGACTGCTATGGAGTTCCATATGATGCCAAAATGGCTTTAAAAACACATACAGTTGCTTCCTGAGCAATCTTCTGAGGTAGATAACCTGCTACTGGGTTGCAGCAACTATTTCTAGTTCCTTCCTCACTTCTTGACCTTGACTTCTGCTGGGGTGGAGGCAGGCATTGCACCTATTATTCTGACACACTGCAGCAGAGCTAAAGTGGCCTCGAAGCTTGTCTATCTAAATGCTCTAGAAGAACAGTGAGAAACAGAAGCTGGTGCTAGGCAGAAGATGAGCAAAGTGCTGAGAAGACCCAAGGTGAGAGACTGGTTCTCCAGCTGACTCAGTGTGATGGAAGAGTGGTACCTCACATGGACTAGGCCCTGAGTGAGAGTGTGCCACTGCATCCTGTATTCGGCTTGTTGGCTCTAAATAAGAACAGCAAAAGCAATTCTAAGATGACAGAACTTTTTAGAGAACACATACACAAGCTCAGATCCTGAAGCCATTTCTGTTGGGTCAGGATTTTTAAGTATCCAGCGAATGCCCTGCTGAGTAGTTGCAGTGGCAAAAGGAACCCCACCCTCTGCTGGTGGTAGCCTCATTCCAACCCCTTCATCATCACAGGCAGCAGTGCGAGGAATTCCACTAAAATCTGCCTCACTGCATCGCATGACCTTCGCACTGGGCAGAGGCACATAGCGACCTCACCTCTTTACCTTCGTGTTAGCTTGATTCTTTTTCTCTTTATACTTTTTTGCCAAGTCTTCTCACTGCGGAGAATTCTGTCAGTGCAGCAAGGCTATGCAGGGATGGCATGGAGAAGTCAGGTGAATGTGAGAATGTGAACTCCTCTGTCATCCAGCTTTGAATCATAGAATTATAGCATTGGCAATGAATGGTCAAAGGAGATCAAAGGCATTTCCAGTTTCATTACATTAGTGGCGCAATGCGAACAGGATGTAGATGGTGAGATGAACTCTGCCAAACCTGTAGCTGGTAAATGATCAGTCTAGGAATTTAGCCTGTGAATACCTCAGCTAGGCCAATTTAGCCAATATTAGGTTCCTAGACCTAATATTTCTTTACTACAAAATAGAGTCAATCATGATACCATTTGGGGACCACACAAAGATATTGGGAAACGGATAGGAGAACACAGCAGGGTCAAATAAGAGTTTTGCTTCATAAAATTTTCAAGTGCCATATGTTGTCATTGAAATGGGTGACAGCTAGAAGGAGGTGATGGAAGAGGAACAGAGACTTCAGTAGGGAATGGCTCTTTCATTCCATCCACATACTGGAAGTGAAGAGAAGGGCCTGATAACTTCCACCTGAAGGCAATTTTTTCAATTTCTCTTATCTCAAAATGACACTTGGACACTAATGGAGCTGAAAATTGCCCAACAGATGTGGAAGGTTAACTGACTGAACTCTTCCTGTATCTACTCCTGCATGCTATTCCTTATCTATTTCCATATTTCAAGTAATAACTGAGAATTTTGCAAAATGAAGAAGACAGGCAGACAGAAGTCATAGCTAACTATTTATTAAAAGCCTAATGTTGAAGAGCAAGAAGGAAAGGAAGGGGTGGAGAGGGAATGAGAACGAATGAATGAATGAGTGTATAGGATGGAGAAGGAATATTACTAGAAACCAGGGCCTCTTTGCATGCTAGGCCTCTGGGCAAGTGGTTAACCCCTTAACAAAATCCCTAACCCCTTAAGTAGGATGCCTTTGTCCATCCAGGATGCTATAATACCATAAACCAGATAACTCATGAATAACAAATTTATTTCTCACAGTTCTAGAGGGCAGGGCTTCTAATACCAAGGTTTTACAAATTTGGCATCTGGTGATGGCCCACTTTCTGATTCCTAGATGACACGTTCTACCTACAGCATCCAATGATAGGAGGGACGAAAACAATCTCTCCTGGTCCTCTTCTCTAACAGTACTAATCTCATTCATGAGGACTTTGCGCTTACACCCTCAGCACTTTCCAAAAGACCCTACCTCCTCATAGGGGTTCAGATTTCAGCACAGGAATTTTGAGGGGCAGCATAAATACTTAAAACATAGCAAGATAGGACACTGGAACAGCGGGCTCTTTTTATGGACAGTCTGATGGGCCAATGGAAGATACACCCCAAAGCAGGATTTTCAGCCTCAGCATTTGTCTCTGATAAACCCCAAAAGTGTCTAGAAAGTGAAGAGCAATAAACTGCAGGGATTCCCTGCAGCTGAAACCACGCAGCCTGCAGTGGGGTGCTCAGTGTGAAGAGAACTGTTCTATTGCAGAGAGGCGATGTGCCTAAAACAACAGAGATGGAAATGCCCAAGAGTAGGATGGGAGGGAACTGAGTCCAAATAAGATGATTTAAAGGAAATAAAGCAGTATTTGCTGTACACCCAAATTCACATACTCAGAATCTGAGTCTAACAGTAAGTAGTATCAGTAGATATGGAAAGAGCTGTAAGGAAAATGGTACAGGGATAAGAAGGTATAAAGCACAGGGACAATTCCACTGAAGCAAGGTAATGGGGTTGGTGCTTTCTGGCTACAGGGAAGATGATTCTTTGTTTAGAGTATTTTGATGTGTGCCAGAGGAAATGTTGTTGCCTTTGTCCCATCATCTTACTTGGGGTCTTGATCCCTAAGGAAGGGGATTTAGTATAGGTCAAGAATTTCCTGCAAGGCACAAACTGCACATCTTTTGCTGTAGTGTTTGCTCTTTACTTGGGCAGAAATAGATAATGAAGAGACTAAGTTGATCACTCTGTTTAATTACCCTTAGTTTACTGGTTATGGTCTGAACATTATATGGGGATTAAATTTATGCTTTCCTTTTTTTTTTTTTTAAATTCATGCTTTCCTAAAAAACAATAATTCATGAATAGGCAGTTTTTTGTTAGCAATAAGATGGAAAACTCTAAATTCAATTTATCCAGCTCAGAAACAAAATCCAGAATGTTTTTAACCTTATCAAGTTAAAAAGTGCTTCAAGACCCCAAAGTGTCTGGAATAGTCAGTCTTTGTATCTGTGGGTACCACATCTGTGGATTCAACCAACCAGGGCTAGGAAATATTTAGGAAAAAAACTGTGTGGACCAGGTGCAGACCTTCTGTCATTATTCTCTGAATAGCACAGTATAAAAACTCTTTGCATAACATTTACATTGTATCAGGCCCATTAAGGGAGGATGTACACAACTTACATCCAAAAAAATGCACCATTTTAAAAAGTGACTTTAAAACTTGAGTATCCTTGGCTTTTGTCAGCAGGGAGGTAATCCTGAATCCAATCCCCTATGGATACTGCAGGATGACTGTATACCCACTACCAATTTGGTGACTATACTTATCTCACATTAAGGACCCACTGTGTCCCAGGCATCGTTTTAAGTGCTGCAAGTAGACTTGTATGGTAAGACCTTGCTCTTATGGAGGTATGTTCTGATGGGACAGACAGTTGTTTCTTTCCACTTGTGGAGTTAGAGTACGTGGGGCTATAGGGATAAAGTGATGACATGGGTGCTTCTTCACATAGGTTGGTTAGAAACAGCCCCAAATCTCCCTGTGCCCTGCCGACTCTCCCTAATGCCATCCCCTAATTTCTCTAAATTTCAAGATTGTTTGGACTTCAGAACTTTACAGTTGACATTTCCCGTCTGGGTGCCCTTCTTCTGCCTCTCAACTCCTCTTCCCTCCATTACTTCTGTCCTTCAGATCTCTGCCTCATACCACTTCCTCTGCAAAACCTTGCCTTGCCTGCACAAGCTGTGGTCAGGTTCCTTCTCAATCACAGCTCTGAGGTTCATTGTACTGAGCAGAGTAGCGATGACATGTGTAATGGATAGTTTAATGTGTTTGTCCCCTCCAGACTATAAACTCCACTAGAGCAGATCATTTGTGTACTGTTGGAACCTTAGAATCTTGTAGTTTGCATAGTAGGTATCTCTCAAATGACTGTGGACTGTAGGAATGATAACTGAATATTCTGGTGTAGTGAAGTTGAACACGGAAGATCCCTGTGCATCTACTTAGAAAACACTGCTTTATCTGATAGGCCATATATGTAGTCCTGGGAAACTTTCTATAAAGCAAGATCAGTTAACATAACTTGGTTTCATTGGGTTGCAAATATGAAGTGACTTATAATGGCACTTACCTCACTTCAACAATTTCACTACTGTTGGAAAAGTGTGCTGATTAAACTACAATTTAAAATCAAGAATTTTTTTATTTGTAAAAGATCAAGTCATAAATAGGCAGAATCAACCCATGCTTTTATTTTCATTGCATATAAAAATTTCATATGAAGGTATTGATTGATGTACAGTACTATACCCATGGGCTGTAAGAGAGGCTAAGAAACCACTAAAAGAATCAATCATTGTAATGCTCACACACAATTTACCACTCTGAAACATGTCCAAAGAAAATTTAAAAACAACTAAAATCAGTAAGGATGTATTTTGTAGTTATAGTGTCCCCTTTGTACTATTTAAAACAAAAGTAATCAAATTCCTTTGGGCCAGGGCTGCTAAAATCTACAGTTTGTGTCACAAAATAAAATAAAATAAAGTTGGAGGCTCATTTTTCCTAGAAAAAGAATCTTTCACCAGTAAGTCACACGTTCAAGGGCTGGGCAGACAGCAGCAGAAGGTTTCCACACTACCCACTAGGAATTCTAACTTTCAGGAGCCACTGTGCAAAGTTAAAAATTCTAAACAGATACCAATTTTGCAAAAATTTTATAGAGAATAATGAATCCTTTATGCTATGTGAATTGGCGTCATATACAACTTGGTATTTAAAAGAAACTTGGTTTGTTTTACTTGAAATTCCAGGGTTTAAAAAAATGGTATTTTCTAGATTATGTATTTCCTAACCTGAGAGGAAGCTGATGAACAGATGACTAACCAAGATGTGACCTATGGCTCCGATTTCAAATCAAGTTGTTCACCTTCAAGTTGATTTTCCTATGAAAGCCAAAAAAAAGGCTTTCTGTACTCGCTGGACAAGAATGTATTTCCCCAGCAGTGTCTGAAATTAAAATCAATCTAATGTAAACTGAGCAGCTCCCGACCAACAGCTGGCTAATAAATCTTCACACACGCAGTGGTGCTCCGTCGCAAGAAGTCTGTTAAGTCTGTATCTCAGAAGGATCACAGACTCTTCCAGAGGTTGTCTGTGGTTTGTCAAATCCAGCTATTGCCAGAAATTTAATTCATTGAAAGCTTGGATATATACTGCCCAGCCCTAGCTCTACCTTTATTTTGAAATGCAGCAAAACAGAAGAAAATATTGGTTAAAGTTAAGGCACAGCCCTGGGACCAAAGACCTGCAGCTATGTTATTTAAATTTATATATCTTTATGTATTTTATAGTTTTCTTGACTCTTCCATAAACAAGCTCTAAGGTGACGAGACTATATTACAGGAGAAAAGAAAAATGTACAAGGAGTATGTATACACACCATTCATTCTCTCACCAAGAGTTTCCAAATATGTCAACACCATCCCATCATGAGACGATGTTTTAATAAGAACGGATAATTTACAATTAACATTACAGTATGTACATTGCAATAAATACATGGTTGTAAACAGACAAACAAGACTGTATTACAGGTAAGGTCATTTGGTGAGAAAAAAATGCATGGCACAAAAAATAAATAATGCATTCAAAAATTATAAAGCTTTCTGTAAAATCCATTTCAAGTTTTTTTCTTTCCTTGTTTGCAATTTGTTCTGTTATTTTCTTGAGTTTTAACTGATGCAAAAGAGAACAAAACTAAAACAGCACTGTTGTGTTCGGTAACTTGCAAGCTGAAATGTACTGGTATTCTACAAACTTGGACATTTTTCCCCATGCAGTACCCAGATATTGCATCTTCTTATGGCATTTAAATGTAAAGCCACTTGTGTAAGGAGATTCTTTTTAAAGCAGTGTGTAATTTCTGAAGCACATTTTGGTGAGTGAGAACATGGGGGAAGGAGAGAAGGGGACAAAAGAGAAGGGAGAGGGTAAAGAGATTGTATAGTGCATTAGTTCCCAATTCTTGGGTATTATGTCTTTTCTACAATTTGATTGTCCATCAGCGAGTATCTTTACAACACGGTACCCTTAAAAACCAACAAACTGGAAAAGTCTGTTTTAGTGCAGTTACAAACCCTTTTGTGTCAAGATCTGTTTATGACATATTGCTGCTTTTATTATGGAAGATCCAGGCACTCTGTGGGGGAAATACCATCTGTAGCGGTGGAAAAGAGTGAGAATAATTTGGAAAGAGGCATAACCCCTCAACTCTTTGCTTTTTTCCTTCTAGACTTCCCTCAGGGACAGATACAATTAAAATAAAAATGAATTCCCAAATGTTCTTGGGAAATCACTTGGTCAAACATAGGTTTGTAGTTTACTCTGTTGGGTTTCTACAAGGGAAAAAGAGTGGAAACCCAACCCAGTAATTAGTTAATTCCTATTCTGTCCTATGTAAACAATAAAAAAACTCAGGTAATTTTTCTACTAAAGGTGCAACGCATCAAGTGACTCTTAGGAGGGTAGAGTAGGACTACCTCCAGCTTCGGTCATGTCCCTGACCGACGACTTAGTTACCTGCCCCCAGAAGGCTCCACGAGAAGTTCAAAATACAAATTTGTTCAGGGTTGCCAATTTTTAAAAAAACGTTTTATTTACCTTCAGTTTAGTCGGGTCTCCCTTCTGTCTCTAACTCAATTCTTAGCTACTAATGCAAAAAACAGTTATGTGGGTTCCAAATTACTCACAGAAAAGGCAAACCCTTTATTAAGAACTGACGTGGAAAGAAAGTCCACATGAAACAGGCCATGGTACCAACTGCTATCAGCAGATAAACACTGGGAATTAATCTCTAAAACTGCAATACAGTTCCTGGTGCTAATATTGGCTAGGATATTTTCTTGATTTCTAATTTTTTATTTAGGCAGAATATTTTTACTAATCCAATACTTTAGACATTACCAACCTACTGGTGCTAGTGGTCATTTCAACTGCTCCACTCTGTGTGTTTAAAGAAATAGTTCCCTCCTTCAAGACATGCTCCAGGTCAGGAAGTGATAACACAATTCCTACAAGTGCATGGCTATCTATTAAAAGAGTAGCTGCTACACTTAAAAGCATTTGGGGATAGTCTTCATATAGTTCCTTACCCCATGATGAAACAATAGAAAAAAAATTGTACTGGTATTTGTTAAATATACTCTGCTAATGTTCTTAAACATTGCCTGGTTAACTGTTAACTTTTGTTTGTAAGCCCAGAGTTTTTAAAAGCTAGTCATGATGAACAACCTCAGGGTAGAAATACATCCTAACCCTAATTTTACTATCTGCTTCTTTTCATCAATTAGGATGGCAGAGATATATTTGATAAAACCTCACCTAACAAACATGGACAGAGATTCAAACACACATTAAATAAAGTAGCACAAGAGGAAAACGTTTTCCTTACTCTAACTGGCTGTAAAAAACAAAAACATGAAATGTGTGGGTTTCTGCAAGGACGTGCACTTGTGAAATGCAATCGACACAGTACAAAGTCATCAGGAGACACTAAGTAGGAAAATATCTAAAGAAGACTGACCATTTTAGCTACTGGGTATTTATATCTTTCATTTGCTTCAGAGAACACCAGCTGATATTTCTGTGAGGCTTAAGACACTGGACATGACACACATCAAAGTATTACAGAACAAATATTCACTTTACACACTGAAGAAAAATGTCAGTGGAGAGCAATTCTGCTGATTGGGAAAGGGTGAAATAAAAAAGCAAAGTAAATAAAGACTTATAAAAAGGGTTTCCAGCAACATAAAGTTGTTTTTCTGTTTTAAAATGTGGAAGTTATTGGTATATAAAACAATGAACCACTACAAATCAGTTAATTGCTATGAACTATAAGGTGCAAGTAAAATTCGTAAATTAGATTTATCCAGTGTAGCACAGATTTGTACTGAAAACTTGCAAGTTACTCCTTAGAAAAAAATAACCAGTGGCAGATGAAATTCTGAACATAGTTTTTTTTTTTAAATATAATACCTCAATACATTTAATAAAAGTAAGCTCTACAAAAAATCTTTTACATATCATACAAAATGTAGAGGTGAGTGCAGCTCTCTGAACTACACTATTCAGTCATGTATCAGGAAGACTTGAAATTAGAAAATTATGCAATTTCTGTGGCTCCTTCCTCTCCTGGGAACAGACTCATGCTGTATTCTGTTCCTGACACGTTTGCTATTATCCATGAAGCTCACTTCTATGTAATGCTTTCTTTCTCCAGAAAATATTGCAAGAAACTCTGAATCCAATCCATTCTGGGGCTGCCTGCTGAGCCACGCTCCCTTGAAAACGTTTTGGAGTTGATTTTATCTGCTTTGTCAGCTTGACCAAGCTGAAATGATGTTAAAATGCTGTTTGTGAAGACGTCCCCCTTGCTCTGATGACACAGAGGTGAAGAAACTGGATGCGATATTCCTGAGCGCCAGACTGAGTAGTCAAGGTCAGTTTTGTTCAACAAACGTCCTCGCAGATGATAGTGAGGTGTGACCATGGTTGTGGCATGTGACATGCACTTTGGAAACAATTTTTCTACTAAAAAAAAAAAAAAGATGTGACAGTCTTTGCACTGTTACGTGTCAGGAGAACAATCATCTACGACACAGACTTCGGGCTGACTTTCCTCTTCCCCCACTGCCTCCTCTTCCACCTGTTCATCAAGGGGAATTTCAGTAGACTCTGAGTCCTGAGTACACAGAGTCTTGGAGTCACTGCAGCTCGTGTCTTCCTCCACTTGACTGCCACTGTCCTTTTCGGTGTCTGACTCACCATCTTCCTCTAAAGTTAGTTCAAACTGGAATTTCTCAGTCTGGCCCTGCTGGCCCTCCTCTTGGTCATCAGGCGCAGGAGAGGGGCTCTGAGGGATTGTGCTTTGGTACCATTCGCGATTGTCCTCCAAAGTGTCCAAAATGTCTTGGGCATCAGGATGTACAAGGTCTGCCCAGGTCTCCCAGAGAGGATGAACGATATAGTCTATGAAGCCCACCTAGATTAAAAAGGAAATCCAGTGTGAAGAGAGCAACAGGACTGACAAAATGGGAAAGGGTAACCAGGCCATAGCCCACAGGTAGATACTGAACAAAGAACTACTGACCTTATCTAGGTAAAGTAATCACTACTTGAGGTAATAGATCACATCCAAGTGTTGTTACCAGTTGGGGAAGGTTAGCTTCTAGATTTCAAGAGTATATTTACATGGTAGGGCATCAAGCCTGGAGCTTATTTTAGAATATTTATAGTTTTCAGGTGAACCCAGATAACTGAAGTAAAGTAAGTCCCCATGAATACAATCATGATGAATGTAACACCACAGGAATGTATAAATTTAAGTCATAAGATTCAAAGTTTTTGGACTCTAAACACTATGTTTAGAGTGACCTTATTGTAATGAAGTAATTTTGCTATAGCATACTGTGAATGTGAGTACTGTATAAGCAGATGCTCCAGCTGTAGCTCTGTTTGCTTTGAAAGTGGTATGGACTAAGTCAATTACCTGGGATTTTTCCACAGACGCATTGTGCTTGTCACACATGGGACTGATCTCCATGCCACGCTCCCTCTCTCGGTCTCCCTGGCGGAAGAACTCCTCCATGATCCGGTCTGTCCACTGGCGGTACAGCTGGAGAGGCTTTGTTGGGTTGCTCAGATCTGCACAATGCACCATATTCTGAAGGACCTAAAATAGATGTAGACATTCTCTATTCAGTACCTGCTTTTTTTTAAGCTAGAAATTCACATTGGATGACTGTGACACTTAAAAATACATGTAGTGTAAGATTTATTCCAAGTAGCTAAACCATGATGTGTCTGTGGTGTGGTTCACACTTGTATTAATAGTTCCAAATTATGCCACTTCTACTGCATCTAAGTATCATAAGAGAAACTGTTTAGGTACATGGTTGACTAAATTCAGAGCTGCTTAAGTGGCTGGTTTTCTGGGGTATTTTTTAAATATATATGCAAATGAAAAGACCAGTAACATTCTACCTTGTCAATTCATAGGAATAAGAATATGGGTAAAAATCTGCCTATAGTTACTAAAGGTGTAACAAGGGAGAATGGAAAAATACCTCTTATTAAAGCTGAACACACAGACATATGCATGTACATACATGCAGGACAAGAATACAATAATGATTTACCTGGATCCTATCAGAATAATTATCAAGAAGGAGAACCCCAGAACTCGTCACTTTCTTAGTTTCAACCATAGTTTTCAAGTCAGCTAGTAGATTCATGTGTTTCGACATATCTGTTGCAAGTACCTTAAAAGGCAAAGAATATTTTATTAAATAAAGCCCAAAGGAAAAAGGCAGAATTAGCACATGGAAATATTTTTTGCATACTATAAGGATTAGAAGTGTATGGAAATATTCACAGTGTATGAAAATCACTCCTCCTTGGGGCAGTCTTTTCCCACTAAGTTTTCTGGAACCCCAGAAAAGCATGCTTAACATCCAGGAACATCAGGAACTGACCACCTTTCATGGGGAGAAAGGGGCTGCTATCTGTGTGGCTAAGTCGAGGTTTAATTCATTCTTTGGACTACATAGTTAATAGACTATGATGAACTGACTCAAGATTGCTCACAAATCACTCAAACCATGTTTTGGTTAAGTTTTACGTGCAGGGTAGAGAATTCCTGCCTGTATTATGTACAAAGCTTAAGAGAATAATTTTTAATAACCAGAGATTTGCCTCAGAATCATTCTAAAATCAAGAACATTTTTAATACGATGAAAAAAAGTGGAAAAACTCATCTAAGCTGCAGCTCGTGTCTTGTGCTTTTTGCTTATTCATCTTTCTCTACCTCCCACCCGTCAAGAGGAACTCAAAGTAAAACCTGAATCATGATACTTAAATTCAAACTGCTAGAAGTAGAAAACTGATTACAGAACATCACCGGCTGTGTGGAACAGATTCTAGAACGGAAAGGGCAACAACAGGTTTGGAAATGCACTTCCTTTTACCTACCATTCATCTTATTCTACATTTTCTTAAAGCAACTTACACCATGGTAATTTTTTACCCTGTGGTTTTTGTTATAGTTACTTACAATGTCAATGACCATTTTCCTTAAAGACTGTCTTTGCTTTTTGGTCAAATTCTGGAAAATATCACAGTTTTCTTCCTGAAGCAATTTAAAGCCCACAGCCAAATGATGGTTCTCCAAGACAGAGGAGTCGTTGTACATCAAGGCAAGTTCAGAGTCTGAAAAAAAAAGACATACAAGATCACTAGGGGCTGGGGATTTAGCTCAGCGGCAAAAGCGCCTGCCTGGCAAGCGCAAGGTTGTGAGTTCGGTTCCCGGTACCGGAGGAAAAAAAAAAAAAATCACTAAACTGCTCAATTAGAAACACATTAATACTTTGGGCTTAGAATGCAATTTCCCTTAACTTTCTCTCACACCTTTACCACTGTACAACAGTATCTGGGACAGAATGGACTGGAAAATGTAAGAGCAGAATGAACACTGGAATCTTAGGAGTGGATTCCAGTGCTCCTGACACGCAGCAGGTCATGACACTCTGTGGGCCTTAGCTTCTACTGAGGTGAAAGACAAACCACATGGGTTTTACTTCTCAAGATCTGCCATTAAATGTCTGTCTTAGTAGACTATGGCAGTATTCTTAACATCTGCAGAAGATAAGGTCTTCTGTCCTGATAACTCTGGATTATCTACCCTGTAATTTATGTAGCCAAGGCTCAAGGGATGCAGAATTGTCTGTACCCAGAAAGGGTATGAGAATATGAAACACATGAACAATAGGTTTGTTTATGCTGCTCTATTTTCCTCTGCTGACTAACACTGAAAGTCTAGGCCTTATTCATTTTTTCCCATTTCCTTGCCCAAGTATCCTGGCAGTTCATCACATACATGTAAATTGCACTTCCCACCAGCTTGCCCATGGCTTTGCATAGAGACGCTGTACTAGCTGTCTACGTGCCCCAGGTGGAGACTGCACCACCCTCTCACACTGGACCTGTGTGGCAGGAAGAGATCCTGCCTCATCCCTAGTTCTGTCAATAGCGGATCCAGATTTAGAAAGCAGTCATTAGAAAAAACCTGACTCATGCTTTACTATTCCTACAGGGCACTGGAAAAACTAAAAGCACACATGCTTGGTCTTTTGACTAATTCACAGAACATATATTTGGAAGAAGTGCCCAATATCACTTCTTTAAAGGAGCACAGGAGAGGTATTTCTTTTATTATGGGTTTATTTAATTTGATCCTACTATGAAAATAATACATGTAGTAAGATCTTACGTAGTTTCAAATATTTTATTCTTAACATATTTTAAACATCCTTAGAAGCTTTTATATTTTACAGACTATTTAAAGACTTAACCAGATACTACCTTTTAAAAAACAAACCTGCTTTCTTCTAAGCAAAGTGTATTTCCCAAAGTTTTTCCCACTTGGAAGGTTTCCCTTCCTCACTGGCCTTGTAGGGATGTCCCAGAGAGGGGCAACGGTGCTGCAGTTGTCTGTATCTGGGTGGTGACTATATTGCACAGAACCGTCTATAAAGCAGGCCCTCTGAATGGTGGTTATAAGGAACTCTCTGTAAGACCACAGGTACAGGTAGGAGCAAGAAAGCAGTAAGTAGGAGTGGAGACCATAAGCACTTCGGCCACTTCATGTAAGTTACTTGTGCCTTCGGTGTCTGCTTGGGGACTACTATCCCATAGATAGCACTTCCATTTTGTGGGTCAGTAACAGTCGATTCTGGGCAGCACATGTTACATGGGAGGACCACGATTAAACATTCAGTGTAGTCTACTAAGGCCTAGGACAGACCAATGACTGTCTCAAAAGGAAAGCAGTTATCTTTGCATGACAGTAGGCATTACTGCAAAATCCTGAATGTGTGTGTGGCACGGTTCACCTCTATGGCCCTACCACAGGCTCTGAACTGCATCTCTATCTGCTCCTCACACTGAGCAAGACTGGATCTGCGGAATTATATGGCTCTGGTGGCAGAGCAGCCTGCATAGTAGCCTGGCCCTGTAGCAGAGCTTTCTCTGGTTCTGGGATCCATTCAAAATTAACAGCTTCTCAGGTAACTTGGTCAATGGGCCAGAGTGACACACCTGAATGAGGAAGACGCTGTCCCTGAAACCCAGGCCTACTAGTAAGTGTGCCTCTTTCTTGGTTGTGGAAGACAACACGCTACAACTTAAGCCTGCACTTTCGAAGCAATATAGCCATAGGCCCCACACCACTGGAATCTTAAAATTTTGCTAAGGTAGAAAGTCTCTGAATTTTAGCTGGATTTCCTTCCTACTCAAGTCTCACTTTAACAATAGATATTATAGGAAGCTGGGAGTTCACTTTGCATTGTAATCCAGCCAATCCCATGATGAAATTCTGCCTTTGATTTTCAGAAATTTTAGCCCTGCTGAGAAATAAGACTCTCTTTCTGAGCAGACGCAGAAGCACTTAGGCCACTTACACTATGCTTCCACTGGAAATTCCAATTCCTGAGCTCATTCTTGTATTTCCTCCTTGGCGCAGTAACACTAGGCATGAGCAATCAATGTCATCAGATTCCTGAGTTTTCTAAAAATACTGAAGGTTTCATAACCAGAATCAGTTACATCTTTGCATCTCATACCTGGTTAAGAATACTCAAAGCAGATATTTTGAGTCTCTCTAAAAATAGTTCACACTATGGACTATAAGTATTCTCTCTTCACTAATGAAAATAATAGTGTCTTCAGATCTAAAGAGATTACAAAGTTAATTCTGGAAACCCCAGAACAAATTCAGAAACTCATCCTTAAAATTCTGCTCCTTTACAACCAGTCTCAATACTAAAGTCTGTATTAGAATACTAATACCGTAGTGGTAAGATATATATTCATGTATATTTATTTCAGAAAGTGGCTCAGGTGATTATGGAGCACCAAGAAAACCAGATAGCTTGTACATTTTTACCAACAGTACACCCTTTCCTCACAGTCTGGCCAGCTTTGGGTTTTTAAATCAGGCTTTTTAAAAACAATTTTAAATTTGACTGGTAAAAAATTTTAATTTATTTTGCACAATTCTTTTGAAGTATCACATTACTTTCCCATTATTTAAAAGTAGCCTTTAGGATAACCAGTCTAAAGTAAAGTTATTTGAATGTACATAAATTATAACCCAGCCCACAATAGTACCAGGCTGAAGGCCTGAGAAAGAGAATGGGAGGGAGGGAGAGAGAAGGTCAATATTGTTTAAGTCCCAGTTCAAATCTGAAGGCACATGAGTCCTCAGTGTGTGTGTGTGTGTGTGAGAGAGCGGAAGACGGTTGCCCCAGCGCAAGCTGAGAGAGCAGATCTGTCTATTCTCTCAGGTACTCAATGGCTTGGATGGTAGCCATTCACATGGGCTCTTCCTCAGTTTGAGTCAAGTGCCAGTGTCTTCTGAAAGCATTCTCACAGACCAGCCCAGAATCATGTTTTACCAGCTTTCTGCACGGTTCTTGGCCCAGTCAAGCTGACAGGAAAAATTAACTATTATATCCTCTTAGACGGTGTAAGCCCTTGGAGATCTGATTTTTGTTTGAATATCACTCCATACACAAGGGCAAGTAGTGGCTACCTGGTAAACTCTTGTTGACTGGATTGCAATTTATATATATTAAAATAACTACTTTAGACTGGTTATTGCTATAGGCTACTTTTAAATAATGGGAAAGTAATGTGGTACTTCAGAAAGATTTCTGCCAAATAAATTCAAATTTATTTTACCAACAAATTTAAAATTGTTTCAAAAAGCCCAATAAAAACCCAGAGCTGGCAAGAGCGTGAGGAAAGGGTGTACTGTTGGTAAAAATGTGTATGCTTTCTGGTGGGTCAAAGAAGCAGTAGATATGTCTCAATACCTAAAATAAAAAATTTAACTCTAAGATTCAAGTTCAAAGCAACACAAATAGAAAAAATGAACAGCTGAATATTCATTAATAGGAATAAAGCTAATTGAACTAAACTATCCAAGCTAGGTTACTGAGCAAATAACAGCATAGAAAAGTTCTACATTATGAGTTTCTACATTTGTATCTGTGTGTAACACCTTGATCAAAGTATAAATGATGCTCAGTGGAATTGATACCTCTGAGGGAAGGATTTTGGATGATTTTTATTCTTTATTTTCCATATTGCTTCTATTTTAGAAAAAAAGTTACTGTCACAAAAGCTTAATTAAATATTAAAAACATTTTAAGCTTTCCTTTTATAGGAGGACAAATATTCTACGCTAAGAGAAACATAGGGTCAAATTACAAATTCACCACCCTACAACATGTAAATAAAAGTATAATCTATATAACCTCTGCTTATCTGCTCGACAAAACACATGTTTAGGAATAAATGAAATCCATACTCACTATATCATCTTTTGGAGATAAAATCGGTATTTGAGGTAAAATGATCATGAGCTTAGAAATCACACAGATACAGCTTTGAAACAGGCATACAACCTCTCCTCTTTGGGTCTTAACTATAAAATAAGAACAGTCCCCACCAAACTGTGATGAGGTTTATGTGACATTATTAACATAAAGGAAATGTGAGGGTCCCCTGATAACACTAGCAGGGTTTCTTCCACAAACTGCACTGGATAGAAGCACAATGACTGACTAGAAACATACTCGTAGCAGCCCTGAATCTAAGAGGGGAAAACAGAAGAGGACAAGGGGGTGTACTCGTAGAGGAACAACCTGTTCAAAAGACATGGCCTGCGGGTAAAAAATGATTGGGTCTTTATGTGCTGGTAAGAATTTCCACAGGGTGGAGTGGAGCCGATACCAAGAGTAAGTACGATATTCTCACTACGCCTATAGCTTTGCTAGGCTTAGAAAATGACAGCATACTACACGAGGTCTCTAAGTTGCAACAGAAATGAACAAAAGTTCTTGAAAAGGACTTCTCACCAAAACATCTATGAAATGGAGAGAGGAAGTGGTGATCCTAATTCTATATCCAGTTGCCATTGTGAAAAGATTAAAGCTGCTTGACTCACTCCTGTAATTCACTCGCTCTCTCTGTCTTTTCCTCCACAGCACCAGGCATCCTCTCACGCCGCATGCTCACTTGTTGAGCTCTGTCTTTTCTAGCAAACACAAACTCTTAGAAGCCAGGGCTCTGTCCTGTTCACCACGGGTTCCTAGTGCCTAGATCAGCATCTGACACTTAGGCTCTCAGGAAATGCTTGTTACATAAATGATATCTGCAGTTTTATCAACAGAATCACATTTGTTAAAAATGAATTTATTATTATTTTTAAAGTATTAGGTGTATACAGAGAAACAACTCTGTATAAATATATTTTAAAATGAGATGAGAAAAACCAAAAAGTGTGTATACTGAGAGCTAGATTCAGCTTTAACTTAATAGGATATAATACCTTTGTTTTTTGTATGCTTTGAATATTTGTATGCTTTGAATGCATGACTAACGAACTCTCTTCCACAAACTTAGGTATTTCTGCTATTAACAAAAATGATTCTCTTTCCAGTAAAATTTAATACTATATATATTCTGTATTTTCCAGTTTTTCTTCCAGAAAATACAGTAAAGCATGAAGTTAAATTTTTATGATAAACCCATTCTGACGTGTTACATTCAAAGTTTTATGATTCTGTTTACATTTTATAGATTTACTTGTGTGCATCGTCTTTTAACAAGGCAGGCAGCCTTCCACCCAGAATCTCAATGTCTCTATGTCCTGTTCATGTCCCTTCATACCCCTAACTCATTTAATAAGCTTAACTGGCTCTGCCGGGTAGAAAGGTTCTCTGCCTTCAGAATCCCCAGGATACTTACAATGAGTAAGTACAATTAATATCATTTGGCACCCAAAACTAACACACATGAAAGGATTAGTGAAACCTACGATCACAACCAAGAAACAAACTCGTATAACTGAAAGTAGAGAATTTTGTTGCAGTATTTTACAAAGCTATTTATCACAATTTATTTGAGGAATTCCTTTACTGCAACTGTGAAGATAAAAGTTACAACTTACTAGCTACTAGGAACTTCTGTGTTCTAGAAAAAAAAAAAATTCCAAAATGCTGGCTCACACGATTGTTAGTTAAAAGCTAACTAGAACAATAATTCTGATAATGTCCTGGAGCTCTGATCAACCCTATGATTTGCTGGGATATGTACTAAGTGACAATGTTCACTCATTCACTCAGGAATGACACAGCCTCCTCACACCCTATCGTCAAAAACATTTAAGAATCTGACCAGAGGTACACCATATCAGCTTTTCTGTACCACTGTGGTCCTGGAGGAGGGAGATCATCACAACACCACTAGGCAGCAAAGAACTTCCATAAGCAGAATGAATTACCCTGACACCAAGGCAGGTTACCAAAAGAAAATGACATCTCTGGCCACTGTCTTTGTGTTTATAATCATTTCTCAAATGTCTCTTTTACCAGTATCAGTACCTCTCAATTTTTTTATGTTTTCATTGGTACATATTTGCGGTACATATTTATATTCCTTGTGGGCAGTTGGTACATGTACACAGCACATCTTATTTCTTTTTATATCCCTCTACCCTTCCCTCACTGCCGTTCCCTCCATCTTTAGTAACTCTCAAATTTTAGAGGTATCAAATTTATCTGTGGACTAGGGCTGTGCTAGTTTAAATGATAGGCTCCATAGATGCCCTGATGCCCATCGGAATCCTCCAGGGGACAGCCTAAGCTCAACTGCCCTTGAGGGTTCATAAGAAAGAATAAAACTAGTCCTTATTATCCTTTAAAAATATATCACATTACTTAAAACAATGCCTTTACTGTTAGTTGTTTCAATTTTTCTCTAATGTTAAATTTAGTGCTATAATAAAGGAACACAGTACAGTACAGCGATGGTGAACCTTACAGAGCTTTCAATGATAATAAATAGCTGTGGCATGCGTGCCATAGGTTCCCTACAACTGGTATAGTATGCAACAGAATGCAAAAAACCACACCAATCTGAATGCTCAGTGTTTCTGATTAAAAGAAAAACGATTGTCTTTCTTAATATCAAACTTAAAACCAATTTTTATGTTTGTTAAAAATCTATAATATGAACATACCATAACATGAATAAGCATCAAAATACTTTATCAGGCCAGGCCATATAGAAAGCTGCAGCATACACTGTGCCACTGTACTGTATGACCTGCCTGCTTTTCTTAGAAAGGAGACAGCCAACCCCAGGCACTGACACAATGCAAACCCAGGAGGCAGCATCCAATGTGTATTAATACTTATTTATGTGTTTTGATAATCCTGAAAGTGCCCATTATGAGTTTTTCTAAGGTGGCTGGAACATGAAATATCCCATCTGATCTGCATAAACACGTTCCTAAACCACACTTCTACAATGCACTCAACTAATCATAGATCTCAGGAAACACTTGACTTTTCCAAGCCTCTTCTATATGGGTGAGTCCCTAAATTTCGTTGTTGTTATAGGGTAGAATGAAAGATATAAAAATAGATTTATACAATCTTAGAGATCTGAGTTAAATCTCTCAAAGCAAGGTTATAGTTAAATTCTCTCTTTAAATCTGGCTATGACAAAGTATGAAATATATGATAAATGAACAGCTATTACTATAGCTGGATTGCTGTAGAGCAAAAGAAAAATTTTCACAAATACAATGAAAAAAAAAAAAGATAGTCTTAACATGAAAAAACATTTTTAATAATTGAACTTGTCCCATATAAAAGTGAAGTTATCACAATAATGTACCATAATGGGAGAGGATTAAGTAGTGGTACACTGATGTCACCTCTCTGCTAACTTGAATTACCAGACAGAAGTTCTGAGACCCTAGAGCACTTCACAAAGGCTGCGGTCAGGCCTTGCCTATACATTCTCTGCAAAAGTTTGCTATATGTCCCAGACAACCATGCTGAAGTCTCCACCATTCCTCACATTTCCAAAATCACTGGTGATTTTTAGGTGAGAGATCACCAGTTAGGAAGAAAAAGAAAAAAAAATGATTAAAATATTAGGTTGAGGGGACTGGGGATTTAGCTCAGCGGCAAAAGCGCCTGCCTGGCAAGCGCAAGGT